ATTTTTACTTGTACTTAGTAATTTAATCCATTAACACCGAGCCTCGAAAATATGAAGAAATTTCCATGTGATGCATCGCACAAACTCGATCACCAAATTTCTGTGATTTTAGACGTAGTTGGTCCGTGACTGATTGAAATGCAGTTACTAACGGTCAAAATTAATATACATTCTGGGGGGAGGGACAGATTTAGGTCACTTACCAAAGTTGGTCATAAGATAGGCCCGGTTTTGCGAGATATTGGAAAGCGGGCGTAATCGACGATACCTGGTCATATAAATGTTACAGACAGCCAAGAAGGTCGACATTTAGCCTTTTGCCTGTTGAATAATATGTTTAGACTAAAGTTACATGACCACAATGCCTTTGTCTGCTATTCCTTGTAAGAAATCCTTGAGATTTTCACAAATAATGACCATTTCTGACATTTGGAGTGTCTGATAAGCTTGATATATGGAATACAAATTATTAATAGAAGGTTTACTAATGCCAGTAACAAAATAATTACTGATGATTCCTAGAAATTAGTTAATTGCAGAATTTGAACTGTACGCCGCAATTTTGAAGAACAAGCTTGAAGTCATGATTTTAATCATGAATTCCAGCAGATCTCTCCTCAGTAACCTATTTTTGAGTGTCTTTATGCCTCCCGTATTCTAAAGATCCCCCCGAGATGAAAAATGCATAAATTTTGCCTTGCAGAAGGTAGTTAAAATTATAATGCCATCAATTGAATGCGTGGAATGTGGGTCCTTGCAGCATATTCAGTGATTTTAATGACAATTCCGAGAGATAATTGAGTAGCCAAGAATTATACAAGAATAACGTCAGCCAATATATCTCTATTTTCTGTTCCTCTCTATGTAATTAGGAATTTAAAATTGCCAAGGAGAATGGTAATTTTCAAAATTTATTTGCAGTAAATTTTGGCGTTGGAAATTATTAATTATAAAATAAATCAATGACGATTTAACTTCGTATTGGGCATTTATGTTGAATTTTGCAACCGCTTGTTTGACGACAATGGTCTAGGAATATGCTAAAAAGATATAAAGAAACGGACAAAACTTGCATATAAAACCATTTAAAGGTGGATGTTAGAGTGACTTCCAGTAAAGTATAATTCTTCTGATTAACTTTCTTCAATAATCTTTATGGGGAACAAATATTTGTTTTAAAGTGGACAGCATTAAAATTGAATGATCTATCGTTTTATACGATGCAGATTTACCACTTAAATTATAAACATTTAAACGATCAGCTAGTCTGCCATCATGTTATAAGGAAAAAATGGAATAAAAATGTGCGTTTTCATATATGGAATATTCAAGCGGTCGAGTTTAAGTGAACACTTTCAACGTCCAAACCAATTTTGATAAATATCAATAAATAAAAACGGTAAATATGCAGAATTATGATTTTAGGAGTAGTTTGTTCGTAATGTTACTGCGTAACACCCTTTCCTAATTGAAATAAATAGAAATCCCAAACCGACCTCATTTCCTGCATTGGAAGCACATATTTTTGATATAAAATTATGCTTGGTGATAATGAACAAGTTTTGCATGAAGAAATCTGAAATTGTTTATCTTTTCAAAAGTGGTTAAAGAAAATGTCGGAAATCTCTTTTCAGGAGGAAAATATTTCTTCATCTGCGATTCATCATGTACTCTGCTTAAGAAAAAAGTAAAAAAAGGGTAAAACACTTGCTCAAAAATGTTATCATGTTTAACAATGGTGAGATTTAAAAGAAAATGAAAATTTTCTCAAACGCTTGTAAAAATAATTGCAACAGTTTTGTATCAATTAGATAATAAAAATGATATGTTGTTACTTGAACGGGCCCGTACCGAATACCCCTGCATGGGAAGTACAATTACTATAGTCTTATTTTTTATCATAAAGTAGCCCATTCGCAATAATTCCATTGTCGACTGATTTCTTTTGATAAAACGGCTTATATGCAAATTCTGAAAATGGTGGTACATTGCCAATTACTTTAAAGCAATCAGAATGCTTCGTCTCCGTTGCCTGTTCCAGTAATTGATCGACATGAAGCGCATATAATAATCACAGCTTTAGGTGTATTGCAAACTTAACATTCAAAGTGGGTCATCATTGTTGTGTCATGATTGGAAGGCACTGAATATTCTGGCATATTCGTTTTGCTCTCTGAACTCTTTGCAGGAGAATTCATTGAAATATATAGTGGACAACTCAAGGAAGTTACATTTTGGCAAGTGGGCTTCCCAACCACACAACCCGAATCCACAGTCAAGTAAGGAAGGGCTCTTTAATGTCTTAAAGGTGCTCTAAATCTCCCATTGCTCTCTTTTTCATTTATTCAAATTTCTAATACGCCCTTTTGGTCACTTTCTACAAGTAATAATTTTAGAATTTGATTGGTGACAATAATTCCCATTCGATTGCGCCAAAAGTTCAATACGTTCTTCGAAACGTCAACTTTGAATAGACTCTCTGAATAGCTCATAGTTATAAAAATCAAGTATAATAATAGAAAAAAACTTTGTAAAACTTTTAAGGGCAACAATTTATTGCGCAGTTCATCTTAGTTACCATGACTTTTATTGAAGCGTCGCTATGACAATTAACTCAAAGCCTCTACATTCACTTATTGAAAAAAATTAAATGAGTTCTTTTATTCTATAATTCGCAACAAGCATGCTAGTATAATGTGGTAAACTTTAGCATAAAGATTATGGAAATTCGAGATATCTAATTTTTAAAATGCTTCGAAGGACACGCTTTATAAAATAAAGACAAAGCAGTGAACAGGATATGAGGTTTCAATGAATCCTCAATTTCATGAATATTTGAAAAAATTAACTGCTATTTTATTTTCGAATTGGCTGAAAATTAGTTCTATTTCTGGTATAAATTATATTTTCAAAATATATTTTAGAGTAGGTAGAAATTATCGAGGTTGAGAAGTAGATTTTCATTGTATCGTTTTTAGTTTAGATTTCTAGGCATGCTTACTCATTCATGGATGCTTAGGTTACATACTTTACGAAATGCTTTAAAAAAAGATTATATTATGCCATGGTTCTTTTTTTGCGATATATTTAATAAATCGAATATTATCTTTTTTTAAAGAATGCAAAAATGTAAAATAAATTTTATACTGCTTACGTCCATCTATCCATCCATTTATTACCCACCACTTAAACCGCAGACTTTGCGAGAAAGAAGTTGAATACTTTCAACTTTTTAATATCTCCACATCTTTATTAAGGCTAAAAATTGTTAACCATTTTTCAAATCAAATAGTTTTTTACCGTATTTTACGAAATAATATTAAAATAATCATTAAAATACGTTTGAATTCACTTTAAAATAAGGCGTTTTATGGGGAAGAGAAATAAAAAGGCGAATATAATACCTTTTAGGTAAACCTTTTTGCCAGTTCGAAACAAGATGGCATCTGAAAATTCACAACTATATCAATAAAACTGAGAACATTTAACCTTTTGAAATCTGCTCAACTACTTTTAGACTTTTAAGCACAAGTAAATAGGCTAATTTTTCTGTCAAAAGTCATTGAAAAGTCAGTTTGCGTTGTTTAGAAACCACGAATAGAATGTGAAACGAAGTAATTAATCATATTGTGTCTTTAAATACGCTTTAAAAAATATTAGACCAGAAGTCACCACACATGGCATAAATTATAATTCAATACACCTATTTATTTAATCGATTCATTTTTATTCCACGTTCGTGTTCGTTGTATCCTACAGCACTTTTAATGCCCATCAATTGACTTTGATGTAAATTTGTTAAATAAATGGAATATACAGCTTAAATTCAATTTTTTACAAAAAATATAGTTTCTTTTATCTTCAGGAGTGAGGGTGCAAAATCCCACCTAGAGTGATATATTAATAGTTTACAATCATTGTGCTTCCAATGATAGCGTATTTACGATATTATAAGATGTATTTTAAAATCAGCCAGCATTAATTCTTTTTGTTAATTATTTCAAAATAGGAGTTAAATCTGAAAATTCGGCTAATTTGGGAAAGTATAATCCGAAATATCACTATTTCCGGGCTCTGATTTATCCAACACCAATGCGATTCACTCAAATATCATTAATCAATTTAGTTTGTGCGGTTAGAAATCTAAAGCTGCACAATGACCATTGGCAGAAAAATTTCATAAAAATTAACAGAGCCACAAAATCGAATTTATTTACACAGATTGAGTCTAGAAAACCAAGATTGAAACTAAGACTTTCATTCTTCCTTCTCAAGCAAAATAGCCCATTTTTTAACACCAATTGCAGAAAATTAATGAATTATTAACATTCACGTTGAGAATAATTGCATGTATAAAAATACTTAATTGAAATATAATTAAAAGAAATCCATCAATTTAGGATTCTAATCTTACGTGAATTCCGGATTGCCAGTTGAAAAGTCGCCAAATGATGCAAGGCAGATTGAAAAGAAAGGCCTGGATCATTAGCACAAAAGGTACCCACTGGTAGTAGAGAATTTTTCTTTCATCTCGTTCTTGTGTGGACTCTGGCACCGTCTTCTGCTTGGTGGGAAGAAAGTACGTGCTCGTAACCCAACACACTGACTCTGCATATTCCTCCTGAGCCCGTGTGAATTCTGTCGGCACCCAGCAGGCAATAGGCTTCCCAATATACTGCCGAGCTGAAACCACAAGAGTAAAAATCACTAAGAGGAGAGTGGTGAAGTTGTGGCTAAACCGATCAGCAAAATCATCATCTCGCCGATGTTTGCCCGCATCGAGTTTGAACTTGGTCAAACCGGCAAAGAAGTGAGTATCCATTTGGAAGAAGGTGCTCTATTGCTCTGCCTCTCTATCGTATTCTTGACTTAGGAGAGAGTAGGTGTGCCATGTTAGAATGAAGAGGGCTACAGAATGGTAAAATAGACGAATACAACAGCACACATGCCTAAGTGAAGTGTAATTAGCGATGGCTTGCGCAGGCATTCTTGCCTATGAGACGACCAATCCCAGGTTGGCTGACTTCCCCTATGATGTAATGGCTTGCGGGCGGACGGGTGCATTAGTACGTGAACGCGCTGGGTGAACGCGCCTTGCCAGCCTCTGTATCACAGATGCCTCCGTCACAGTGTTACTGACAATTGTAGATAATTCCGAGTGAAGAATTATGGAATATCTTAAGTTCCCATCCACCACCACCACCACTTTAAGTTAACTTAATATCTCGTTAAAATTATCTAAAGTTCCCTTTGGCAATAATGCAAATAAATGTTCAAAATGCTCCAATCCATCAATCAAAGATCGGCTTCCGTTGAATTCAATTTGAGTCGGAAAATGATCACTTGGAACTGAGTTGGTCGTATCGATGTAATGCGGACCCATATTGTGGCCAAGTTATTTTACAAATATTGATCGGGTGCTACTAACTTAGCTTATTTACAGAAGTTATTTTTGAATTTTATTTTTCTGGTGGAAAAAAAATGTTCGTCTGCATTTTGGATACCATCTATATTTTATAATTTATTTTATGAAAGCAATAATATTAAAAAAATCTTAGAACGTGTGGTCACTTTTGGATTTCTATCAAGTTCTGAGTTGGTATCCATAATTAGAGGGAAAAGAATTTACCATTTTCTTGTTAAAAGCAGCGTACAAATTTATTAAGTACTAATGTTAAAAGCATTCGTTTTGCAGCAATCGGTATATAAAGTGTCCAACTAAAATTAATTTAGATGTATTCGGTACCTTTTGGTTTCCACTGCGAAAAGGGAGGGAGGGGGGGGGGAAGGACATTTTTAAAACAGAACGTTTTTGAGGCTAAAAGTATTGTATAAACACGGATATAATTAGACTTTATATTCATTCAAAGTTGCCCTCAATTTATTCATTCATTGATCATATTTTCAGTGACCCACAATATGCAATATGCACTCTTTACGACTAATAACCTCCGTTCTCGCTTTTTGAACTTCTAAGAGGATTATGACGATTTGGCCAAGTGCTCATTGGTGTATTCCTCGTAATATCTTCTAAGGGAATTCCCAATTATTCGAACTTACAACGAAGTGTTGTCAACTTCAAAGCATTTACTTCATGAAGCTGATGAAAACTTGCTGCAGCTCCAGGGGAATCTTTGAAGTACAGTCAACTGTTCAGTTGTAACAGGTACTTCATACGCATTACCTGAGGTGTAACATTAAAGCAAACACATTATGATTATAAGAGTGAAATAAAAGAACACATGCTGCGTATATATGAAAAAAGTATTACATAATTGGATGACAGAAATAGAGGTATTTATTCACAAATGAATTTAAATGTACAAGCTATTCAAATTCTAATATCTCTGTGTAAACACAGCAAATTTATGCCCATCCAAAGCTCAGTTTATCGGTGAAATAAATCACCTTCACAGCTTGACACAAGCTATAATAATGGAAGTAGTTTCAATTATTATTTAATTTCAAATTGGCATTGTTAAACTATGTATGAATATCGGCTCAAATATCCGTTTTTATCTCTCAAATAGGAGTAGGCGGTTGAAATAAAGCTTGAAACAATGACACATAAGTACACTCCCTGACACACACCCATTTCACTGCAAAGAAGCGTGGAAATGCCAACTCTTTTCCTGCTTCATTTACAACGCACGCAAATTACAACCCAAATACTATTTAAATAATAATAATAAGAAGAAGAATAATTGTTTATTATTTTATTGGAAGAAAATCAATGAATCATTTTAAACAGGCATTTGAAGCCTAGCAGTAGCACAGTCACCCTAACTTTTTGAATGCCCACTTTCTGTTAAAATAGAAACAATCGGTTTTGGACAAATTATTGAATAATTTGTAGAATGCATGATTAGCATGGTCTTAAGAGACTGGCTTTTTTGTAAGAGCCATTCATATACCCTCGGTGTTATAGGGCCAGACCGTATTAAGTCTGCAATCTTTCCAATTATATGTGCACAGGTGTGTACTGTTTGGGTAATTAATAGCCCCAACTAGAGGGTGCGCTGTTTGGCAAGACCAAAAAGAATGCACGAAAATTAAGCCGAAAATTCATTCAGGCGAACCACCTTTATTCAGCTGCTCTGATTATGGAAGTCTGCATCATCACAATGGATTATTGGTAAATAAATAAATAATTCAAATGGCAGGCGTTTTGATAGTTATCATTAGCCCTTTAACTGACTTCGAGCTTCTCAGAGGAGGAGGAACATCAAAATGAGAAAAGACGAGAGTGGGGGACAAAAGAGTGTTTCAAAGATGTAAAAGAGACGGGCAAAAAAGGTAGAAAAAAGTGAGGTGGGTACTGTGGAAGTAGTCGAGTATGGCATACAATGGGGTGAGGGTAGTTTGAAGTCAGAGGTCAACTGCCAGTTAATAGACTTTTTTGTCGTATGAGTATACGTTGCCCAGGGTGCACCACGTGGAGGTAAGTCTATCGCACACCCCTTATTGGTAAATCGAGTAGGCAAAACTATATGTCTACCTTAATTTCTATTGGCAAAGTTTATTGTCGACAGATTTTCAAATATTTACTTTGGGGAACTCTTTTTACCATTTCATAGTAACTGGTGTAACCTGATGAACAGTCACGTCTCTGTAAATGCATAAAAGACAGCAATGGAACAAAAATTTTATTACTAATTAGATGAACACAGATTACGGAGCTCCATCAAATGCAAATTTTATCAGTATAATTTATTTTATTCCAATGCTACAAAATTGGAAAGAACTTGAACAATCGATTGTTTTCTCATCCAAATAGTATTGGCCAATGGGCACGGCGCATGACAGGCTAACATTTGCTTCAATTCACTCTACAAATTGTGAGAACATGAATTTTAGAATGAGAACTGTCTATTTAGTAAATAATATTCAACCAGACTCAAAAATATCAAATTGACATTTTCTCTTAATACTTTGACGCTACACTTTTGATCTCCTCATTGTTCTTTGTCGATCTTAATGCTATTTCAAGTCCGTATCTTCCTCCAATTAAAATTTATGAACCCTTTTCGGCATTTTGTAGGTAATAGTAAGTATTCCCATGGCAGTGTTTGGGCTGTGGCAATATTACACGATACGCATAATACACCTCTAATATCAAGATGTTCTTCACTTACTTCCTATCAGAAGCGAGAGCAAAAGGCGGTTAATGCGGCCGATGTACAAGGCCAGGAGAACGACAATAATTGACATCACAACAAGTTATTTCCCCTTCATTTGAGTCCTATTATAGCACCATATGTCCTGCCCACCCTCTCCCTCGCTTTATACTCCTCCTCCTCCTCCTCCTCACCCTCCTCCACCACCACCGCCACCGCCACATGCAGCGCGTTTATGTAGCGTTCTCTGGCTGCTCGTGTTTACCTACAAAATAACAAATATCTTATTCCCGTTCGCTTGCAGGCAAATTGATCCTGAGAGAGAGAGAGCTGAAATCGACCATCTGGGATTTCTCAAAGCGTATGAGGCAGATTGGCCATGGTTGTTTAATGATCCTGCCTATCATACTGTTGGCTTGTAGGCCCTGTAAACTCACATAACATTTTCTGTATATGACCGGAAGCCTAGATTCTTCAACTTGCTCTAAAGGGACTAATTGGCGATCTATTGCAGAATGCTAACAAAGGAAAAAATCAAAATTAATTTTGTATACTAAATCAGACTCAATGGTGAATCATAATACGATTCCTCTATCTGGGGCAAATTTCTACATTAAATTGTGGGACGTACTCAATTGCTCTCCAGTTTTACGGTTAGAAGTTTGATACCGTCAGCGAAAGCAAAATGTTACTAATGATATTCATAGCACAGGATGGGAATTTCCGTGAGACAAGAGCTATTCTAATCCTAAAACTGGTCAGAAATTAATGCATTTTGAGTGACTTCACCCTCATTTTCACTCCCTTAAACCATCTAATATTCCAATACCCTCAGGTGACTGCCTCTTGTGAAACCTTTTCCATTCCATCTAATTGTCCTATCTGTGTATCTATCACCACCAAAATCCTGAAGGCATTCTACACAATTGTAGAGTAAACAGGGAAGAGAGATAGACTGCAAAAACACATGCTTGCTTGTTAACCATGTTTGTAATGTGAAGTGAAAAGTCTAAAAGAACTTCAACCGGAAAAAAAGTTATTGACCTGATCGTTGTGGAACTAAGATCAAGAAAATTCCTCCCGAGGAATTTGACCCCATTGTCCAAGTTCGTGCAAACGAATATGATTGTACGGTGTGCAACATTTCACGTTCTAAATTTAAGAAGTTTCTCAATTCTCCCCCCCCCCCCCCACCCATGATTGGAAGTTGTAAAGTTTTTTGCCCTGCATAGGGAAATGATAAAATAAATGTGCCTGGTGACCCCAATTGATATGGTCATGAAAACCACGAATGAGTCACCTCTATACATTTAAAAGTTTGTATGATTTGCACGTCTCCATTAAAACTGGGTCTCTACTGCGCAAACGTCTCTTTTCAAGATTTCTACTCTCTAAAATGGCTGACTTTGGGGCATACACTACGAGTCTCTAAGAGGATGAAATAATTGAGCATAAGTGTTCCAGTTATTGTCTAATTTAAGCCAAATCGCCTGTGTGAATTTCATAATTTTCAAATGTCCTGCAACTGGCCAAATTATCTGTGAGCCAGTGATCTTAATGCCCAAGTAGAGACTCATTGTTGTGGATGTATGTATATTCAATGCTCTCTGGAGCGTAGTAGCATAATAAACTGCGAGCACATGCTGGAGGCACAGCGGTCAACCTGTATGCCCTTGAACTCATATGTCGTGGAGTCAATAGCTTCCAATAACGTGGACGACAATCAAATATTTATCGGAGTGACTGCAGAATACCTCTCCAATGAACTTAAATTTGTCATCCCCTCTTAATGAGAATGCAAATGTGAGCGTATGCGTTTATGTGCCTTGAATATCTAATGAAACCAATTATCATTTTAATGCCTTTTCATGAATTGTATTATCCTCCTCATTCTTTTGGCATTTATCAACATGAAAGACAGAATAAGAATGTTTCAAAGCAAAATTGGTTCCTCCGATGCGGCGTTGAATGCCTGCGCCTTTCTTTCGTTATTTTTGAATCAAGTTAGACCAAGAAGGGGCGTTTCACCCAAATTATTTTTAGATTATACAAGGTCCTCTATTTGTCTATTTGTCTGCAGAAGAAAAAAGAGAAGGGTGGGAGAAATATTTTGTTTCTCTTTAATTTCATAGACAAAATAATTTGTAATGTCGTATTTTATTCCCTGAGGAATGTTCATTAATCTATCCACTTTGATATCAAACTCACTACATACCCTCTAATAAGCATTGAAACCTTGGGAAACCTCTTATTAGATCAGATCTTTGGATACTGTAAGAAGTGCATTGCAAGTGGATGACTCTAAAATTCGAATCTCCAGTTCCATTTGATCATTCAATTAAATAAGAATGTCATTCAAGGGAGCCTCAGTTCACTTCCTCCTGCAAATTCCGCCAAAGCAACATTTTCGCGCAGGACTTGAAGGTGCTGATGTGGACATAGCATCAACCAATCAAAGGGAAATTAGTTTTTCGAAAAAATTGTAAATATATATGTTTTTATTGCTTGAATGGCTTGAAAATATGACGTTTTAGATTGGCATCTTCCCAAAATCCAGAAACGCAGAAAAGAATTGAGATTACTCCTACTTTATTGATGATTGATTTATTTTGCCATTAACAAAAGCAAAATTGATTTGCTCATATTACCAAATTTCCTACTAACTCCTTTTCATAATTTATTTTCAATAATACATCTATTCGAAATAGAACAATAACTCGATTGGTTATTTTCGACTTTAAAAATAAAACTGAAAGTAGGCACTTGCTCCAACGTGACTCACTCTCTACATTTCATATTTGATATGCTGGTGCCATCAAACATTCAGGAGATCAGGTGGATCTCCAGTGAGTTTACGGGTGGCTACATCGCCTTCAGTATGAATTTCTGGCTAATTGCGCTCTACGGTACTTGCAAAAAGTTGCAGGCTCCTGTTCAGTTCTTTCCCTAGTGCACTTAGAGTTATTGGAATTAGACTTGAGAGTTTGTGAGGAGAAGTGAAAACAAGGTGAATTGAAATAGATATTGATGTTGATTGGCAGGCTCATTTTATTCTATTTTGTGCAAGACTGTTATGTACAAGTCAGAATTGGAAGTAAAAGGCAGAAGTGCAAGCAAGTTTTAGTCGGGTCCATCGCGGCACAAAAAGTTAAAACCCATTGGTCGCTTCTTTGATTGCTCCATCCATAAGAGATTGGCTTTGATCACTTACAGATACGCTTCGAGTGAAGATTGGGCCTGCAATGGTCTCAGGTTCCACCTAAAATGTACAAAGACATTGTGTGATAATAACTCCAGTACACCTGGGCTCTGTTAGCACTTTGGCGGATTTCGATTAGAAATAATTAGCTAAAATACAGCACAAGGCAGACTAATTTGACACAAGTATTAGTGGTTGGAAAACAACTGAACCCCTGAAATTTCAGGACTCTAACAAAGAGGCTGAAGGTGGGATGAATCCAGTGTGGATGAACGAAGAAATTAATTGGTCAAAATCTTTACTTGCATGAAATCAAAGGATATAATTATCTTCCTTCCAACAACTTGCAGAATATACTAAAAGGAAGCAGTGGAGAGGAGAGTGAAGAGAAATGGAAAATGTAGGAACATACTCTAACGATATCCAGTTGCCTTAGACAAGTTGTGTACTGTACAAGGCAATTCATTAATTTGGATAAACAATTTAATTAATAGCTGGTATTATCATAAGAAGAGGAAGTTAAGTCATCTAAACTTATTAATTGAGTAGCCTGTTCTCAGTAGTTCTAATCCATTTTGTTAGTGACACATTTTATTGTACTGACTTCCAGTTAGACATTAATGATTATCGTATTTCCTTTCACTTCCAAATACTACTTCCAATTTGACAATAGCACAGACGAATGCACATCAGCGGATTTTAGGAAAGGAGTAGGGACTGTGAGTTGGTTTGTGGAATTTGGAAAGTTTCCCTATATTTTCTTGTTTCCTGGTCACTCAGAAGGCCTCCATTGAGTCCGATTGTAATTAAGCAACATATAATTCTCTTATGTGCGTGGTATTTCCAAAACCCCAGTGTTTTGTAGGACTTCTATTAACTTGAACTTAGTAGACGAACATTCACATGTTTTTTGCGGCAGCCTTCCATGTCGCAATCCTTCATGTAACAGTCCTCGAAGCAGGAATAAATAGTGTTGGTTGTTTAACCCCGACTCGATCACTTCCTCTTAGCAATGAGTCTTAACAAGCTTTCCTTTAACTCTTATTTGGTACCTACTGGTTGAAATTTATACTCGGGGCTACCAAAACACTGTTTTCCTTGTGTCGAAATAAGTACCATTTTCTTTCCAAGCTTTGCATTTCCTTCTCAACTACTACCTGCGAGCTGTGATTTTATGGTTCGACTTGTATGTTTGCAACTCGTTCCCTGAGTACTGGGAGATTCTTCTAAGCATTAATAAAATCATTTTTTCCAAATACTAAACCGCAAATGGCAAAAAGCAGTAATATTATTGCTGATCAAATTTAATAGTCCCACGTAATCATAGAAGTTTAAGCAAATTAAGTCTGCATGCTTCGAAGAGTGCTCTTTAGACTATATGCAATCTGCTATATCTGGTGCTCTACTTGTTGCGTTTTTCCTCTCTCGCAAAATTTTAATCCTCCAGTTCATACCGATGCGAATTATCTTGTTGAAAACTATTTTCTACCATAATTCAGGTTGGTTCCAGTTACTCGTTCAAATTGTCATCGGATGAGTTAATTAAGAATGGTTAATGCCTTTTAAGAAAACAGTCCTTCCTGAAACACCTTAAGACAGCCAAATCTTAGTCAGGATGGGTACAGGCAAAGATGTTCAATAGTATTCTCTGTTTTTAGGTTGCTGGAATAAAGAATTTTTAGGTAGCAGGCTCATGAATTCTAAAAAGATTCTCTTATCTGATTCAGATTAAGAATCGTGTTTGCTTGTTTTAGCGTAGTTAATTTCACCATATCAATTAATCACTAACATAAAAAGTCAGTTTCACATATGATTGGCCTCCAGTACCTGTAAATATTACTTGAATTTAAAGGAATAAATCCGATGTCACAAAAAACTGAAAACTATGTCATAAAATAGGTCGATGTATATTCTTGCTACTTAAATTTGGCAAAACAGACGACAAGGAAAAGAATTCCATTTCCTCCAAACGTCAAATTAAACACTATTCAATTGGAAGCAGTTTCTTACTTCTCTATATGCTGAGTTGGAAGAAGTAGGTACCAATTTCAATGCTCATTAACATTCGCTCAACGTGTGGTCTCTATGGATAAGAACCTGAAATTTGAATTGACTTACTGCCTTAAATGTGCTTAATAATCTGCGTGGCCTACCTTATACTAAACTTTTGAACACTTCTTCACGCCGTTTCAGCGGATATATTAAGTGGCTCCGAAAGGATCT